TCGTTGAAATTTTTTTTGTTTTTGTTGCGGTACCTTTACGCCCAAGAAAAACCAACGCAATATTTAATTACAAAATTTTATGAGATATACAGTACCGACTACTTTAATTTTGCAGAAATATTAATACGACGTGTTAAAGCTGTCATTGAAAATGTTCTTGGTTCATATGGGGCCTAAAATTGGCGCCAATTCATTGAAAAAAATGCTCTCCGTTTTGTAAAGAATTAGCGTTAATATGTCATTTATAATACATTTTCTTTTTTTTTTATTACATTACAATAGTTTCACAATGTTACGTTGCTGTTATATTGCTTATTGGTAATATTGTTACATTACAGTAGTTTCACAATGTTACGTTGCTGTTATATTGCTTATTGGTAATTTTGTTACTTTAAAATAGTTTCACAATGTTACATTGTTGTTTTATTGCTTATTGATAATTTTGTTACATTACAATAGTATCGCAATGTTACGTTATTGTTATATTGCATATTGGTTAACTTGGGACGGTAACAATGTTACCATTATTTTAAGTAACTGTTGCGTTGCATTTTAGTAACATCGTTACATTACAATGTTACATAATATACTGTGTTACGTTAAATGTTGACCGGGTGTGTATGTAACTCAGCAATAAAGACTTAAACCGATTTATATTATCACAGTTTTTAACATTATTTGGCAAATTGTTAAACATGTTTACTAAACATTGTTTAGCCCATTAGCAAAAATATTTTTAGTAGTCTGGACTCAAATACATTTTTCTATGTAAAAATTTTGAGCATTTCTTGTTTGATGTTCATTCTAACCTGACTAATCTATTGTTTAAATAATCTCTTTTAGTTTATAAATAAATAACATAAAATACTTAAGGTATCTTACATAACATTAATGGGTGTATGGGTAAAATATTATAAAATAAAATAAAGCTAAAATCACATAATTGAGTCGTATAACTATATAATGGGCCATTACATAACCATAACATATGGCCATTACGCAGTTGCGGAACTTATATAATATTTAGGCCCCCCTGAAAAGGCAAATGCGTGCCATCAGAAATGCGAATTTACGTAGTTTGCAAATAAGCAACATTAATAAAAAAAAATTTTTTTTTAATTATATATCAAGCATTACGTCGCGCTTTAGCATCAGCGAAATTTATTATTATATCTTTTAAATTTAATCTACATGCTTCTTCGGCTTTTATAGACAAAGTACCAAGACTGTTTATTAAACAGTGTTTTAATCGTTCTTCACCACCGTTGTTTGCAAATAATTTTTAGTTTCGAAAACGATCTTTTCGAGGTCGCGGTAGTAACTGGAATAATTAAAAAATAATAATAAGCCACTTATCATACTATTATAGCATAAACCAAGTTGTCTATTTAGAAGGAAAACTCCTTGTAAATATCTTCTTTGAGCATAACATTTTTTTTAGGATTCAAGAAATTAAATACATTATACAGGGTGTCCCAAAATCACCGGACCAAGCAAAAGGGGTCGATTCCTTTAATACTTGCAATTTTTTAGTTGTACATATTCATTTAAAAATTTAACTTCAAAATTATAAAAAATGTGTCTTTGTAAACCTAAAATTTCCCCCCTCCGCGTGGTATGGTGTTAGTGCGCCATTTTCGGGGCACCAATGAATAATATTATACTCGCGCTTATACAGGGTGTCACCAAATAAGTTGTCATCCTTTAAGGGTATGATAGTACACGCCAAAACAAGAAAGTTTTTCCTCTATCATTTTTGCATTAGTGCTATTTTTTTTTATAAAAAATCATTAAAATTTAAGGAAAGTAGAAATTTTGAGCCGCCACTGGTTGTTCCTGACCTACGACAAATTACTAAAACATGCTCGCACAGTGGCAATACTCTACATTTATTAAAAATTTACATTTGTGTTATCATTCATTACTTGTTGATAATTGTTTTTTGTTTTGCATACTCAGCTATTTTTAGGTACTTTGAATAAAACAATACATACCCACTGGGAAAAATATTATTTCTACAATGTTACTGAACGTTACATTTGTTAGATGTAATGTTACAAAAATCCTTGTGGCAATGTTGCAGGAACATTGCAACAAGCCTTATGTCCGGCTCAGGAACATTACATTTACAAATAAAATGTTGCTTAAATGTATTAATTGCAATGTTACTAAATGTTATTTTTGTTAATGAAAGGTTTCTGCAACATTACAGGAACATTGCAATTTAATTAATATGAATTAATATTATAATAATTAATTATAATTATTTATCCGTAAGCTATAGGCCTATTATACATAACAGACTGTTTTGACCTGTTTGGTCTCATCAGTGTCAGGCAGTCGGTGACGGGAGACACGCATCAAGCTCGGCAATGTTCACTTATAAAGATATAAATGACCAAGACAGCGGCGAGATGCATCGGCAAGTCAGTCTGCAAACAACATTGCAAAAATTATCTTAATGCAATATTTCGGATGAAACATAGTCCAAAACTAAAGTTATAATTATAAATGTACATTACGTAATATTATAGTTACAATGTTCCAAAAATCTATTAATTGCAATGTTACTAAATGTTATTTTTGTTAAGGAAAGGTTCCTGCAAAATTACAGGAACATTGCAATTTAATTAATATGAATTATTATTATAATAATTAATTATAATTATTTATCCGTAAGCTATAGGCCTATTATACATAACAGACTGTTTTGACCTGTTTGGTCTCATCAGTGTCAGGCAGTCGGTGACGGGAGACACGCATCAAGCTCGGCAATGTTCACTTATAAAGATATAAATGACCAAGACAGCGGCGAGATGCATCGGCAAGTCAGTCTGCAAACAACATTGCAAAAATTATCTTAATGCAATATTTGGGATGAAACATAGTCCAAAACTAAAGTTATAATTATAAATGTACATTACGTAATATTATAGTTACAATGTTCCAATTGCAAATTAAATGTTTATATTGCTTATAAAGCAACATTTCAAAAATCATCTTAATGTAATATTTCGGATGAAACATTGCCCAAAACTTATCAATGTAATATTATAATTGCAATGTTTCAAAAATATTCCCAAACATTCCAAAATAAATGTTTTTATTGTATATTTAAAGTAAAGTTGCAAACATTTTTCATTTGAAACTTGTGTTAATATTTCAATTGAAACATTGAAAAAAAGTTATGTCTGCAATATTATAATTGTAATGTTTAAAAACTTTTATGCAACATTTTATACTAAATGTTACAAATATAACATTGTAAAAACTTTCCATGTGAATCTTTAAATAATGTTTTAAATTTAAGGTTGTTGGAAATTATTATATGCAATATTTCAAATGTAACATTTCATTTATGTTAATGCAAGTAGCACAGGAAATATTTTATTTGTAAAGTCGGCGAACATTGCAGCAATATTTTGTAAGGTTTCTTTCCCAGTGGGTACTTTTTATTTTTAGGTATCTCGAAGTTTCCGTGGTTTTCAAGTGTTCTATAAAATTATAATAAATGTTCAACTATTCCGCCGTTATTATCCACACAAAGTTGACAGCGGCGTAGAAAATTATGATGTGTCCGGATTATTTCGGATTTCATCTGCGGCTGCAGCGACAAGTTCGCGGAGTTGTTCCAACTTCGCTCTGGTACACTAAACTGTTCATGTAGCCCCAAAGAAAATAATCGATTAAATTAGGAAGAACATTTTGTTAAAAATCTAAATAAGTATCACCGTTTAAACGTGCCGAAAGTACAAAAGGCCCTATTAGTTGGTTGTTTAACATGCCCGCCCAAACATTAATTGAAAATCGCCTCTAAAAGTTCATCCTTCTTATGACATTCGCATTTTCATGAGCATAAATGTGCATGTTATAAAAATTTAAACACCCTGTTTGCCCAAACGTTGACTCATTAGCCCTGGCCTGCTGAAGGAGAAGATCGCAAAATAGCACCATCCAGTGGCTCCCTGGTTTTGTCAAAAAAATTTCATAATTTTTTTTATTAAAAAACAGAAGCTCTAATGCAAAAATGATAAAGGAAAAACTTTCTTGTTTTGGCGTGTACTATCATCCCTCCAAAGAATAACAATTTATTAGGTGACACCCTGTATCTTCTCGTATCATTAAAATTCACAACCTAAGTTTATAATATAATAATAATAATTATTATTATTATAATTATAATTATTGTTAAAATGTACATTATAACAATAACACAAGTATACGCGGTTTTGGACCTGAGCAACCAAAAGTTCCGTTTTTTAAGATTGGCTCTAGTCTTCGAGGTAGTAAATAAATTAAATTTGTACGATCTTTGGCAATTATATTTAATTGATGGCAATTAAAAGTAATAAATTAGAAATGAAGAGCCGTGGAACTAAGTATTTTATATTGTTTTGGATCCGTTTCACGCATTAGAGTCCAAAAGTACTCGCTCATCATGCGTTCATCCCAAAATTCTTGGTACCTCCTTTCAATGTTTCCTGTTCGTCGCTCGTATCGCCCAAGTTTCAGGGAAAAAATCGAGGTGGGAATGGAGGAAATGCATCTTGAGAGACATCCGAGATACAATCTTGCGGTAATTTTGCAACCAAATTTCCGATGATTTGCTTGAAATCCGGGGATTTGCGCTTACCAAGAAAGTTATGAACAACACTTTGAAAAGAGGTCCATGCTGCCGCTTCATTGGGCGTTAAACATTTTGTATAGTTTCCGTCAGTCATTAATTTTCGAATATCAGGTCCGACAAATATTCTTTGAATTTTTCGTACGGCAAATTAGGAAACAACTTGATTAAGTACTGAAAAGCCTGCCCTTCACCTGCGAGAACTGAAAAACTAGAACCAATGTTGCCAAACGGATTTAAGATTCGAATTCAGCGCATCAAATAACGTCAAAAATCTTTGTAATCTGCTCGGGTCCAAAAGTTGGTCGGAATTTGTAAACTTGTGTAATTATTGTTGTGCAATAAAAAGACAAAACTAATTAAATATCATTTTTAGCGGCACAAAGTAATGTTGTTTATCATAACTTGAGCGCTGTCATGAACGGCTCTAACTTATCGCTGGCATATGATGGTTACGCTTCTTGTCCTCTCATAACTGGTTATAATTCCTGTATATTGGCTGAGTTCGACTATAATTTATCCCCATTGGAAACCTTTCCATTTAGACAGGACAGAGAATTGCTTTCAATGTATTTATTGAAGAAAAACTTTATGCCCTCATTGTATTGGCATTTTATGCTTAAAGGAAATTGGAATGGTCCTGCTACCTTTAGAAAATTAATGCACTTTGACTTTAAGTAAAAGGTCAATAAAACATTGAACAAATATATTCCATAGATCAAATTTATTATACATATTTTAATGACAATTTATATATAAAATGTTTTGAATTTAAAAATATATCTTTACAAATCAACAAAATATTTTTTTATTACACCTACACATAGTATAAAATGTTTTTTATTTATTCCTTGTAAAGCATCCCAACAAACACGTGTTGTCTGATTGTCAGACAACAGTGTTTTATTCGTTATTCACCACCGTTGTTCGCAAATAATGTTTAGTTTCGAAAACGATCTTTTAGAGGTCGCGGTAGTAACTGGAATAATTAAAAAAATAAAAATAGGGCACTTAGGGGAGAGTGTGGTATATTCGGCCATGGTTTACATTCAGCCACTCTTAATAAATCCGCCAATTTTCAAAACTGGCGCGTAAATTTCATATATGATGTTAGCCATACTGTTTTTTATTATTGAAAAAGTGTTTGTGCTCGGAATGGCAGTTGCACTAATTTTCTGTGAATAAAGTTAAAATTTCGGATTGCAAAGGTAAGTTTTTACATAATTTTGAAACTCAGAGTTAACCTGTTGAATAGAGAAATGTTTGGAGGGCTTGGACTTTTTTAAGTACTTTTATATGCCTTGTTAACAAATCTGATATTTATCTAACCTTAAAACTAATGCATTTATAAAAACAAATGAATTGGTATAGGAACAGAATTAATGAAGAAGATGTCAAGAGTGCTATACTCGATATCTTTCAACGTATTAAATCTATACGTCGTGCTGCTGAGTTTTATAATCTATTTTACAGAAATCTAGAAAAGAAGATTATATTAACACTAATGCAAATGATTCTGGTCTTGAAGATTTCGTCCAGCCAGAGCTTAAAATTCAGTATTCTAGTAAATATTCAGTAAAGCAAGTTTTTAACAATGAGGAAGAAGCACTATTGGAAAAATACATTCAAAGATGTTCCGACATTAATCATGGACTTAGTTATCGAAAGATAAGAAAATTAGCTTATGAATATGCTTCAAATTTTCCTAATTGTAAAATGCCACAGCAGTGGAGAGAAAATTCTTCGACTGGCTGAGGGGGTATATGAGCCGTCATAAGAACCTGACGTTGAGGAAACCAGAAACCACCAGTTTGGCTCGTGCCACAGCGTTTAATAAGCACGGAGTTAATGAGTTCTTTGAAAATTATATTGGGGTTTTGAAAAGATTCAACTTTACAGCCGAATCTATATATAATATAGACGAAACGGGTTGTACAACAGTTATGAAACCTGTGAGAGTGGTTTCAACAACTGGCAAGCGACAAGTTTCTCAAATTTCTTCAGCTGAACGAGGCGAGCTGGTAACGGTAGTTGGAATCATTAATGCTGCAGGACATGCCCTTCCACCTATTTAGGTCTTTCCAAGATTGAGACACGTTGATGATTTTCTTATTGGGGCTTCAAATGATAGTATGGCTTTGGGAAATAAAAGTGGGTGGATGACTGGCGACTTATTTTATCAGGTACTACAACACATTGTAAAACACACTAATTGTACTAATTGTACATATAATACTATTATAGCATAAACCAAGCTGGCTATTTAAAAGGAAAAACCGTTGTAAATATCTTCTTTGAGCATAACATTTTTTTTAAGATTCAAGAAATTAAATACATTACAAATACAAAATCACCGAACCAAGCAAAGCTTTACTATTTTGTTAAATATGCAGAATTCAGAAGTTATTTAACTTTTAACGCCGCTTAAAGGGGGCCTCCAACTCACAAAGGCCTTGCAATTTTTTAGTTGTATTCATTTAAAAATTTAACTTATTATTCTCAAATTGAGGGTCCATCCTATAACTTTTGCTTAGGGCCCCTAAAAAAAGTTAATGTGGCCCTATCTATTTGACAAAAATTTAAAAAAAATATTGTTGAAATTAAAAAACTAGTGCCGCAGAAGCGCCACTCCCCTTCCTTCGAGATAATCAGCCAGCGTCTACCGACCAATTGGACGTGACCTACTATGAGTGTTGCAGAAGTGTACTGCACGGTTATCCGGCACTTACGAGGTCTAATAAGACCGAAACAGGCTGTCTGTCGGTGCCTGTTTGTGTAGCACGCTCAAAACAAAAGCAAGGTGACGAGACATTTGGCCAGTTCTTACATCATGGGCACTACTTCTTAAGTGGAAAACCATTTTAAGTAGTTTTAATGTGCCACCCTATTGTATTTTCCGCTCATCTGTAAAATTAAAATTTGGTACCTTGAGATTCTAAATTTGTCTTTTTTGAAGTGATTTTGACACTTGTTATTAGGGTTTTTCCATAAAGTACGTCAAATTTTTTAAAAATTTTAGGCCTTCATATCGCATGTCACAAAGTCTCGACCCACCTCCCTCCCTTAAAGTCACGTTTTTTACCTAAAATTATTTCTTCATCTAAATATTTTTATAGGTTTGGTGTGATGTAACGCCCTGTTATGTGTGACGTACCTCATAAACATAAAATATCAGTGGAAATTTATTTTAGATTAAATTTAATCGCGAGTTATAAACTTTCAGTGGGCGTTGACGCTAGCGCTCTTTAAAAATATTTTAAATCGATAATCTAATTATTATAATCCAAAAAGGCTTGAACCGCTAATCGTTCCATAACTAGCTGGATATGCTAGCCGGACAGAGCGTGCAATATCAGCCTCAAATTTTTGCAAAGTCTCGTTAGATTTCTGGAAGCGATTCTTTAGTTGGGAATGGTACACATGTTCCAGATGTGTCTGGCCATATCGCAGTTCTTTAGCGAACGGAATCCTACACAACTAATTGAAAGTGTAATTAACTAGAACTCAATGGTCTAAATACGTGGTTTGAATCCAACGACCTTGTGCTTAATGTTAAAAAAACTCAATTTCTAAAATTTAAATATTCAAAAGAGCACAACGAAATTTTTATATTAAAATCCCAAGATACCGAGCTTTTTTACTCGAATATAAACACATGAAATCTTCAAAAGGCAACTTGTCTTCCGGCGGATTAACTCCTTACTCTAGCATCGTCTATTTAGTCATCATTGTTTCCAGCTTAAGAAGCCAATCGGTTGAAATGGATCACTTTCGGCTTTCCTCTTGGTTGTTTCCTGATCCTGTAGATGATATCCTTTATGCGATCCATTACTTCGTATGGTCCTTCCCAAGAAGTCTGCAGCTTCGGCGAATAACCACGACGACGTTGTATAACCAAACTAGGTCTCCAGTTTGAAATCCTCCATTCTCCGCCTTGATGTCGTATGCCCCTTTTATTCTATCGCTGGCACTCTGGATGTTTAAACGAACTCGGCTGTAAATGTCGCTCATTTTCTTACGTAAATTGCTGACTTAATCTTCTCCAGCAAAATATTCCCCTGGAAGGCAACCAAACCTCAGGTCACAAGTTAGACGAAGTTCACGTCCCATAACTATGCTAGCAGGTGTCTGGCCGGTTGTATCGTGGATAGAAGAACGGTACGCCAACAGGAACAGATGGAGGTAGCGGTCCCAGTCTCTTTGGTAATCAGAGACTACCTTCGACAGGTACCGGTTTAACGTTCGATTCATTCGTTCCACCATTTTATCAGACTGCGGAATGCGGTCGTCCTCGTCTTCCGCATGTTAAGAATCTTACATACATTCTGGAACAATATGAGTCAAGCCACGTCAAGTGGGACCAGAAAATTTCACGAAATCACCGATTTTAAAAATAATCACATTATTGCGTAGTAGGCATGACTCATATGTCACAGTAAAAAAATTATTTTAAAATTCGTTTTTTTGGTAATGTTATTAAGGTTAACAATTTTGTCAAACTTTAGAGCACGGTAAAATTGAAAAAATAGAATCTCTTGGACCACTCAAATTTTACACACTATTGTAGCAATGTTTAGACTATAGAATGATCATTTAATTATAGTAAATTTGTTTAAATAAAACAATTTTGCATACATTTATTATAAACAATTGAAATTTCTTCAAGCTGAAAAAAAATTAAACTTGTGTCATAATATGCCGCAAACGTTCCCGTTTAATAAAATGTACTCAAAAATTTGTCCTTCATATGTCATTCCGGAGATATTAATTTTTTTTTTCCCGCTGTGCGCTTGATCAGTTCGCTTCTAGCTCGTCAGCATGCGGTGTGCCTGAACGAGGTTTAAGTCACATAAAAATGCCGCTAAAAACTGACTGCAGTTTCTTGTTCGGGACCCTTTGGTGACTTAAAAATGATATTTAGCAAAATACTCCAATAAAAATCGGTGTACAAATGTGTACTCTGCAAATAAAAAAAAGGAGTTAGAATTTTGGTAAATATAGTTTTTAAATCAACAAAGAGTGCCGATCAAAAAACTTCAACCAGTTTTTCGTTCAAAATTGAAAACTACTAAAAAACCTAAATTAAACAACATTTTAAATATTCTCTAAACGTTATTTTATTTAATTTTATTAAAAATCTATTTTTCTTGTAAAAGGTTAATAGAATGCCATTTTGTAACCTGATAAACGTAGAAATATCTAAAAAAAAATTGGAGATAAATCTTTTTTGCGTGTTATGCCAAAACCATGAATTTACGCTTTTGCTTTATTAAAAATAAGTGATTTTTGGCTAACCCTGTATATATCAAATGATGTGAACAGTATTAAAAAGTATTCTCTAAGTTTCCTCAATAATGTGTACTTTGTCAAAGGTAGACTTTGAAATAAACAAAAATTTCAACAAAAATCATGAATTTTCAAAAAATTTCGAAAAGAGGAGCAGCTAGGATTTTGGTAAATATCATTTTTAAGTAACCAAAGGGTCCCGAACAAGAAACTGCAATCAGTTTTTGGCGGCATTTTTATGTGACTTAAACTTTGTTCAGGCACACCGTGAGCACAGCGCACATAGGGGTATTTGAACTATCTGTACGGTCTTAATTATTTTTAGTTAACGTCTTTAAACATGATCACTATAAATAATATGATCTAAAAAGTAAATATAAGTAAAGACGTACGTGTGTTTGTAAGTTTATACCTTTTTGGGAAGTAAAACAAACGTAGAACAATTTTTTAAATATAATTTATTTTATCAAATTTTGTAAATTAAATATTTAAATATCTTTATCC